TTATTCAATGGTTTTAAAATTCTTTTTGATATTATTAGTATTAAAAACATGCGTGTTTACTTTCAAATAATCTTTTTAGATCAAAATGATTTTCATATAAATAATACAGTTTAGGCAAAATTAAGTTTGTTTTAATTGAAACCATCATATGAGAATGTCAATGGAATTCTATCAAAGTATTTAGAAAGTTTATTAAATCATCATATCCATTTAAATTGGCAAATTAAGTGTTTTAGTATTCTATATTCGGTTTTAAATGCCAAATTTACAATCAATTTCTTGTATTACATTTACATATCGCTAAAAATGGTTAAGTTGTATTTACAATTGTATTTAAAAAATGGAATTAATATTAACGCGAATAAAAAATAATAATAAGGCAAATTTTAAATTAAAAAATTTTGTTTTGTTATATTTTGAGCCATTATAGCAATTTGAGCAAGTAACTTTTTTTTCAAGACAAATAATTATTTTCAGTATTTAGCAAAGTGTTGAAAAACGTTTGCATTAATGAATTTGAAAAACGTTTGCATTAAATAATTTGATAACATTATTTACATTGATATTAACCGCACCAACTGTTTTGTTTGGTTTTAGTATTTTAAAGGTGGATTCAAACTCTTCAAAAGTTAGTTCAGTTGAATTAAACTGTAATGATTTTAGGAATTATTATATTATCTAACGCGTAAGTTGCTTGAAATTTTTTTTTTTGGATAAATTTGGTCCAACAGAAAATTTGGTCCAACAGAAACAAAATATTTGTTTAGCTCATTAACCATCTCTTCTTGATAATGCAAAAAATTTTCATTTACTTTATTGGTTTTATGCAATGTAAATGTTTTTATTTTGTAGCTACCTGTGATTTCTTTTCTGATTTCTTTTTTGATTTCCTAACTGCTCAAGAGTTTGATTTATGTTTTTAAAGAAAATCTTTGTAATAGTTTTCTGGAAGATTTTTTTTTCCTTTAAATTGTTAAGCGTAAGTTTTATATATAGCTTTACTTTGATCAGAATTTAAGTTTTATGAATTTAATGTACAATTTTTTTTGATTTTGGAGGATTTTCTTAAATCCATAGTAATCCATGGAGATTTCTTTTAATTTGCAATATGTTTTAATTTTTGAAAATTTCATCATATATAGAAAAGAAAGTTTAAAAAAAAAGTGTCTTTCGTCAGCCAGATTGACATCATCTGAAATGTTCCTTCAATTAATATGAGACAATTACTCCTTAAATGCTTCCGAATTCTTTTTATTGAAAATACGTTTAAGAAAAATTGTTTTACTTAAGGAGCCGTTTTCAAGTTACTACTATTAAAAAAACAACAACCGGTAAGCGATCAAAATTTCACTTGCCTTTTTTAAGAGATTCATTAAACAAATCTGTGGTTATTATACTATTGATAATTTTTAAACTACGCGTAAGTTTAGGGAGTACTTATGAGTATGACATCCAGTTTAAAAAATCTTAGTTCGAGGAAAAAAAAAAAAGTTTTAGTTATTTTTTTCTTCATAAATGAAAAAAAGTTTTCTTCTCAAGTGAAAAAGCATTTTTTAATAACAACAACAACAACAACAAAAAAAAAACTAAGAGTGCAAACACCAAAGCCTATGGTTATATAATTATATAACAATTAAATATAAAAAGGAAATACATCAAAACCAGCATTTTTGAAATAAAAAAATTTAAATTTGTAGTGAAAAAAAAATTATGCGCGCCTAAGATGCGTAAATTGCACATGTACGCGTGTTAGTGTTGTTTACTTATAATAATAACAATAATTTCAAGAACAACTTTAAATTTTTTTATTCAAAATACCATAAAAAAAAAAAAAAAATTAATTATTTTAGAATAAATTTTTTACGTGCACCTAAAGCGTGTATTATCTCTTTAATAATACTGAACTTAATAGTAGTAGTAGTGCGCTTTCGAGCCTGTTTGACACGATACTCTTGGCAACCATTGCATCCGAGGTAGTGACGAGAAAGAGTTTCGCCTTTGCTTTATAAGAAAACGTGAGCAAACGTGAAACTCACATCGTACATACCTAAACTTCATGTTATGTAACGTTAAAACATGCTTAAACATATATCAAGTTCTACAGTTTGATTTTCACTTAAGAACTGCATTTTGTCAACCTCTTAATTTCTGATCTTTTGTATTTATATCCGTTAAAAACGTTTTTTATATAATTTCAAATCTTCTACATTTGACGTGTCAGCGTAGTCGAGTGGTTGGAGGGCTAAAGCCATGGTTCGAGTCCTACCATCGTCGACATTCTGTTTTAATTTTTTTGCGTATGTGTCTTTATTGAGATACTTATAATATTTTAGTTAAACTTTTTAAGTTTATTTACAACTAAGTTGAGTTAGTGCAGGGAAAATTAGTAAAAAACATGTTTATATATAGAATGTAAAATCTATCTAACTTTTGATTTGCATTTTAAACAAAAAAACCGCAAGGCAAACGATGAACTTGACACGCGGCGACCTTAACTTTTATTAAAAACGGTAAGGGTGTTTAAAAAGTATATTTTTATTAAGAACATAACTAAAAAAATTAATTTTATATTTAAACTAAATTATTTTATAAAATTTACTGTTTCTAAAAATAGTCAAAAGTTAAAACTATTTAATATTAACTTAATAAGAAAATTTAGAGATTTACAGTTATTTATCAACGCCCCTGTTAAACATTCTTAACCGAGAGCGCATCAATTACTTTGATGACTTAAATAACATGAGATGCACGAGGCACTGTAGATGTGCACGCGATAAGTATTTAAATTGCTTTTTTAACTTTCATGAATCTCTAAATATTTTTGAATATCTTTTTAATCATTATCGTAAAACTATATTTATTGAATATACTTTTATTTATGAATTTTATTTATAATTGTATTTTGTAATTTTCAATCTGTTTTTCTCAAGAAAACTTTTTAGTTTGTTTCTCCTATATTTTTTTATCTTTAGAATTTTGGAGTTTTGAATAGATATATTGGCTATTTTTGCTTTTTTTTTTTTTTTATATTTCCGTTAACTTTTTATATGTAAATGGAAACCATTTATACTTTTACCACCCTGTGTACGATCAGGACGGTTTTCATTTGGATTAAGTCTCGATTGCACAAACAAAAGGTTTAAAAATTTATTTGCCTTATTCCGCAGTAAAAACAGCTTAATTGTATGAATTTGTTAAGTGTTTTTTTACAGAAAGGCTTTTATAAAAAATATCAAGCAGATAAAGCTAGCTTAATTGAAATAACTAGGCCTCTTTGGCATGCCAATTTTTCAACGTTTAAATTTGCTTTTTAAACAAATCCTTATGAGAGAGTTAAAATAGTATCATAGCATAAGTTTCCAAATAAACCTGAAGAATTGATAGGCAACTGTCTTATATGCTAAAGATGCTTTTATTATTTTATTATGTAGAAAATACTAATGTAATAATTAAAAATACTAAATAATTTTTAAGTATAGTAAACTAAAAATTAACAAAAAAGCCAAAGACTTCATGACACTAAAATGCAAACTGCGTACTTTTTAGCGAGCCGAGACATTTTAATGAGCACAACAGTCATAATATTTAAAACATTTGCTCATCAATTTTTTAAATTACATTTAAATTTTTTAAACTTTATTTAAAATAAACTTTTTTTTAATTATAATTTAACAAGCAATAGAATTATGGTTTACAATAAAGTTTGCATTTTACCAACTAAGAGAACTTCAAATTAATTTAACTTTTGTCGCTTACAAAATAACTTAAAGTATAAAGACTAAATTAGAAACAAGTTTAGAAATGATTGGGTGTGGATTAGACTTACCACAACCCGTATCGTACGGGTCATGACAGCTAGTTTAAACTAATTTAGTATTTTAACTTTAAAATGTTTCTGAAAAAAAAAGTGTTCTCTTAGTCAATAAACAATAAATTTGTTTAAAAAAATGCAAGAAAAGGTTTTAGTATATTTAAGTTCTATTATTAGAATATAAAAACGCAATAACAGTTTATTTAAAAAAAGTTAAAATGTCAAAAAATAAAATAAATGTTAATTAAAATTTCATATAAACAAAAGTCAAACTTAGATCTAAGTTATCATTAACAACAAAAAAAGAATTTCTTTACATTCATTAAAGAACAACCAAGTATTAAAGAAACAATAGAATTAATTACATTTTAAATTAAACAGTTAATTTTTGTGGAAGTATTAGGAGATTGTTGATTTCATCAATTGTCAATATTTTTAATTTTACCTTCCGTTAACTTTTGCTTATAGTCATACCAAAGTTTTATAATTTTTTTTATTTGTTATTAATCAACTTTAAAAAAAAAACTGACTACACCTTGTTTTTTTGTCTGGTTAAAACCTTGTTTTGTTGCCTGTTTAAAACCTTGTTTTGTTGTCTGATAGGTGATCCTCTTTTAGAGGAGAAGAAAACCGAAGAGTTTTTTCTATATCCCTGTTTTTAATGAGTTGAATGGTTTATAAAAGGTAATTCATTAAAAGTATGATGATTAGGAGAACAATTTAGTGATCATTCTAAAGTATTTGTTTTTTCTACATCTAGATTATTTCAAGAAATAAATCTTTCGTCTGAATAGAAAGCATCAAAAATTACATAAATAAATCATACCACTCCTATTATAGATATTATTGAACCTAGTGAGCTAATAGCATTTCAGGTGAACTTATTATTTTTAATTAAAAGATTTGAAACCTTCGTGAGAAAACGATAAACTTGTTTTTCTGTTATTTGTTCTATCCTTATTCTACCATCAATGAAATATTTACTATTCTTAAAAGTTCAATCCCATTTGGGGCTTGGAACACCGGATTTTTTCTAAATTTTACAATAATATTAAAAATTATTTTTGTATTTTTGTTATGTAGTTTTTTAATAAATAAAACCGTAATAAAAAACATAAGTAAAAAAATTAATCCATACAATAAAACGTAATCAAATATTACGGAGTAAAAGTTTATTTTACTGTTATAGGTAATTATATTGATGATGTCATTCTCTACATTTAAATATTTGGATGGAGCAGTTGGTATACTTTTGCTATTTTTTAAAGAAAACATACAAACACATAAAAGTGAATTTTTATATTAAATTATTGTTACTTCTAGAGATGTTTTCTCTAAATGGGCAATTCGATATTAAAGCAAACACACTTCTTACAACATTTAACATCTTTCCCAAAGAATATGAAATAACATTTGAAGTTTATTTAAGTTCATTTACTTCTGGAAACAATTATTGTAAGTGTGCAAACTTGTTTCGATTTACCTCTGGGAACGATGATTTAGATATTAACGAAAGACTTCTAGCGGCATGGTTTACTACTTATGCAACATTGACTTTTTATTTATTTATTAATAATCACTCCGTTCAAGTGCTAAATATTCCCTTTAGCATTGGATGGAAAAAATTTAATATAAGTCAGCTACTTCTTCATGGAGCCTATATTTCTACTATACAAGTTGACGGTACAATCATCTCTTCAGTAACAAATACTGATGCAAAAGAGTTTTACAATGTGAAATTGTATTTTTCTGATCCTTGGTATTTAGCGCAACCCGGAATGGCAAGGAACCTTTTAGTGACAAAAGGATGCTCAGGTGAGAAGTTAATACATTTTATTATACAGAATTTCAACTATACTTTGTTTTAATAGTCAAACGTTAATTTAAGGCCTTTAATACAACTAAATTTTTTTTTTTTATAATCACCGCAAGCTGGAACATACAGGACAATCTAAAAAATACAAATATTACAAACTATTGAGTTAATGAGCGAAATCGTAGCTCTCTCTTCTACTTATATAACTTAATTACCTGTTATCGCTCATAAATTGTTCTTGCTCTTTCCTGTCATAGATTAAAACTTTAATGATTTTAAACTGAGCAATAGCAGTTAAGGTTAAAATCTTTTTATCTACATTGTGAATTTATATGCTAAAAAAATTCATTTACTGTTTAATTAACAACCCTTACCTCCAAATAGTGATATGGTCAAAAATGTTGGTAAATTAACAGTCAATCATTTATACAAAATCTCATACAAATAAAGTTTGTTGATGATACAAAAAATAGGATATCGTTAGCTTTCTAGCAAAAATATGTATTTTTCGTTTTAATATTGCATAGTTTATAGTTAAATCAGTTGAGCTTAATTAGAAAAAACTTATGAAAAACAACTACACGTAACCGAGATACGTTTAAGTTACAAGTTTACTTATTTAAAGTTAGCTTATTACATTTTTTTTAAATGTATCAATAAAAAAAAAAAAAGAGACATTTTAATGAAATTTTTATAAAGCAGATTAAATTTTATAAAAGCTTATAGTTCTTTTTTAAATTTTCTATACTAGACTATTGTTCTATGTTAAATTTTATAAAGGAATTTTATCAATTTTCTTTATTTTTCCAATAAAAAATATAATAAGAGGTTGTTGTTTTGTTTTAGAAGTTATATGAGTAACCATTTTGTTTTTCAAAATTTAGTATAAACTTATTCTTTTTAAACCAATCAGAAACTTTTGTCAATTCTATATTTATATGTTAAAATAATGTTGATACATCAACGTTGTTTCATTTGACATATATGTATTATCAGCAAACATGATTGTAATTAAATTTTAAGCTTTAAGAAGATCATTTATGTAAACGAGAAAGAGAAAGTTGCCCAGGTATAACAACCCTGCGGTACTCCGCAGAATATGTTTAATAAATTCTGAGAAAGTCTCGAATAAGCTATATCCGGGCCAGATAGGAGTATTATTCGGTATCCGATATATGGCCGGATAACACCTTTAACCGGTTTTTTATATACCGAATATTTAACGTTAATGTCATTTGAAAATTGAAAGAAATATAGAAATGTTATACTTTTAAATAAGCTAATGTTAATGGTTTTTGTTCAATATAGTTATTATTGCTATTATTATCATTATAATAATTATTATTATTATTACTATTATTGCTATTACTATTATTGTTATTATTGCTATTATTATTATTATTATTATTATTATTATTATTATTATTAAAATATTACTAAAATTATATACGCGCAACAAATACATCAGTTTATTATACAATTTTATTTCGTTTACCTCCACGTTGAGGTTGCTTCGATCGCTTTTTCTCATAAATAATGAAAACAATTTCTACAAATACAGAGGATGCAGGTGGTATTAGTAACTTAAGTATTAACTCTTTTAGCAGTGGAAACTTATTTTCATGTTTCCAATAACTTACAACGTCATTATTTTTTTCTATAATCAAATGATTAAACAAAACAACAACTCTCTAAGCAGCTTTTACAAAGGAGACTTGATCAGAATTCAATACAATTTGAACTCCTCTTCATACAATTTACAATGAATTTTTTTGCGTGATTATATTGTGGAGTTGTGAAAAATGACTTCTGACCATATTTATTACATCCCCTGCTTATCTGCTCTTCACATGGAATGTAAATTGCAGTGAAATTACAGCTATCATAATTTTTAGAAAAACTTCCAAACAAAACTCACCATTTTGAAGTTTTATCACAGAAATATTTGGTTATTAAAAATATACGGCCGCATAATTTTCAAATGTACGGGTATTCGATATCTGGTCAGATATTAAAAAAATGTTATCCGGGATACCCCTAATAAATTGACGGGATTTCTTTTGTTACAATAAGCAAATTGTTTACGGTTTGCTTTAAAAACTTTTAAGCAACAATAAAACATTTCCTTTATTTCAATAATGTTAACTTTTTGGTGCAAAATATTTTGATTAATTGTATTAAAAGCCTTTGATAAATTAATGCAAATTTCCAAATATATATATATATATATATATATATATATATATATATATATATATATATATATATATATATATATATATATATATATATATATATATATATATATTCTGTTATAAGGGAGGAATTTATTGATATTTTGTGATATTTTGTGACAAAGATGGATGGGAGGAAAAAAGCTGGGGTTTAAAAGTTGCTTTTTTGCGACATAATTAGCTAATGACCCCTCATACAATTCAGTATGTGCTTGTGTAAAAGTAAAACAATTTATGTCAAATTTTTCAGTCAAAATAGCCACTTTATTTAAATTTAATAAATATTAAACAAATAAATAATGAAAAAATTGAAGTTAAATAAGTATTGCAATATAGTGGTATGCGCTACGTATGCGCTACAATGCTAAACCGCTAAAAAAACTCGAATAAATAAAAATGAATAAAAAAAAATAAAAACATTACAATTATATTTCATAGTAGAGCTTTATGATAAAAATTTTGATATATATTAGCAATTAAATATTTTTAAAATTTCACTTATTTTTCTAAAGTTGTGCTTTTTATTTTTAGAAAGCAACTTTTACTGCAAACCATTACTAGAAGTAACATACAATGCAGATATATTTTTGTAAGTGATGTTTAAATACTATTCGTCAATTTTAATCAGTAACAGTTTAAGCTTTTCGTTGAACAAGCTAGACAACATTACGTTAAAACTAACTTTAAATTTACCTTTTAAGATTACGTAATTTTATTTGTGTTTAAAACTATATTTTAAATTTTTAAAGATTAAAAGGGGGAAAGATTTATTTAGATATTTTAAAAAAGGAAAGGTTGTTATAAAAAAGTATTTATTTTATTTTCATAATTTTTGCACGCTAAATGTGACAACAGTGTATGTATATATATATATATATATATATATATATATATATATATATATATATATATATATATATATATATATATATATATATATATATATATATTTTTCTTTTCCAGAATAATATGTACAAGGTAAATTTACATTTAATATAATACTGGTAGGACTTCCAGAAGATCAGACGATCTTATCATGAAGCCTTTTACAATCTATATTAGAAGTTAAAATAAATAAATAAGTTTACAAATATTAAAAACAATTTTTAAATTCGTTTATATATTATAATACTCTCTAGATGTTAAGTAAGTTTTAACTATATTTTATAATATATGCAAATATATATATATATATATATATATATATATATATATATATATATATATATATATATATATATATATATATATATATATATATATATATATATATATATATATATATATATATATATATATATATATATATATATATATATATATATATATATATATATATTATTTTTCTCAGTATTTAATATATTAGGCAAAAACAAACAAACAAACAAAAAAAAGCAAACAATAGCTTCAAAAATTACATTAGTTTTTATCAGTATATATGTAATGTCAATATATAATATGTAATCTAAAAAATATTGTCGTTCATATTACAATTTCTTAATTATTTTGTGGAATAGGTAATAATTTAAAAATATAAAAATATGTTATTAATTCAAAAAATTACTTCTTTTAGTTTTCTTTTAAAAGAAAAATAATTCCAATTACGCGAAAAATCAAAATGTTTTAAAACTGTTTTGTTCCATAAAAAAGCTCCTCGGTATTGAATGCAAGATTTGCCTATATTTGATTGAAAAATTGGTTGTTGGATATTTTTATTATTTCTTAATAATATATTTATTTTTTTCTTTCATTGAATATGAATTATGAAAAGAAACAGGGCATGCATTAATTTTGCATTTAAACATAAAACAAAGAACGTTAAATATATTTGCTTCGTAAATGTTAAGAATATTCATGTTTAATAATAAAGGGTTGGCATGAGTAAAACAATCTTTAAGTCAAAAAAACGTGCTACATGCTTCTGTTGACAAAGCAAAAGTTTTAACTTAATTTTGTTGGTACTACCCCAGGCAATATTAGCGTAGTTAATATGGCAGTGAATTTATGAGTCATATAGTTAATTTAAAGTATGTTTATTTAAAATGCTTCTTGTTTTATATAGAATCCCAATATTTTTTGCAATTTTATTATTTAGATTTCCAATGCGGTTTTTCCATGAAAGAACTTCATGCACAATAATACCTAAAAATTTAGTATAAGTTACTCTTTTTAGATTAATTTTATCAATGAAAAGCGGCGGCATTTCAATTGGTAGAATATGCTTTTTATAAGGTAAATGAAAAAGAATCCATTTAGTTTTTTCAATATTAAGCAAAAGCTTATTTGATTTAAACCAGTCAGATATTTTCTTTAGTTCTACATTCATGTCATTAAATAAGTTATTTCGGGATAAGAAAAGATTAGTATCGTCAGCATACATTTTTGTCATTAACTTAGAAGTTTTATAGGGGTCATTAATATAAATTAGAAATAACAGTGGTCCAAGTATGGAACCTTGGGGGACTCCACAGGATGTATCTAAAGCAGTAGTTGTTGAGTGTGTATCAATATGCATGAACTGTTTACGATTGTTTAAGTAATTTTTTAATAACATTAGGACTTTACCAGTGGTACCGTAATTTTCTAATTTATTTAATAAAACGCCGTGATCAATAGTATCAAAAGCTTTAGATAGGTCTATAAAAATACCTAAAGTAAATTTTGATTTTTCGAAGGAGTTAGTAATAATTCTTATGAGTTAAAGTACTGCGTGTTCTGTAGAGTTATTTTTTTTGAAACCGTACTGATTGTTGTAAAGTATATTATTTTTAGAAAGATGATTAAAAATTCGATCAAATAAAATTATTTCAAGAATTTTGGAAAAACTGACAAAACTGAAATTGGATGATAATTCCCAACATTTGTTAGTTCACCACCTTTATATATAGGGGTCACTTTTGCAACCTTCATTTGGGCCGGAAAAGTTCCTTGACTTATTAAACAATTAAGAACTTTAACTAGAGTATTCTTTATATTATCGTATGACTTAATAACAATGTTTCCATTTAAATCATCTGGGCCAATTGCTTTATTGGGTTTAAGCATTTTGAAAGCATTTTCAAATTCTGAAAATAATAGTTCAAAGGCACTTAGACCAGAGGTTAGAAGAAATTCATAGTTATTGATTGGATTTATCATATTTGGAATGTTTTTTGAAAGATTAGGTCCAACAGAAACAAAGAATTTATTTAGTTCATTTGCTATTTCTTTTGGATCATCTATTATTTTATAATTAATTTTAATAGCTCTAGGTTAGATAACACGATTTTGAGTTTTATTTGCCCGTGATTTCACTTATAATTTGCCAATTGCGTTTTGAATTGAGTTTATGTTTCTCTAGCAAATTGAATTAGTATTTTTTTTTGCATTTTTTTAATTATTTTCAAATTGTTTAGTATAATTTTTGTATATTGTTTTGTTTTCAATTATTTTGGTTTATAAGTATTTCATATAAAGTTTTTGCTTAGTTTTTGAGGACTTTCTGAGGTTTTATTGATCCACGGTGAATTAAGGCTTTTATTTGATTTAATTATTTTGATTTTCGGGAAGTTTGCGTCATAGATATTATAAAATGTTTCGTAGAATGTGTTATAGACTACGTTTGCTTCTAATGTAGAGTCGATATTTTTCCAGTTAAGTAGGGATAGTTAATCGTTAAATGATTCGATGTTTGATTTATTGAAAATGCGTTTGATGAAAATTTGTTTTTGTTGTTGTACTATTTCGGTAACAATATATATATATATATATATATATATATATATATATATATATATATATATATATATATATATATATATATATATATATATATATATATATATATATATATATAATATATATATATATATATATATATATATATATATATATATATATATATTATATATATATATATATATATATATATATATATATATATATATATATATATATATATATATATATATATATATATATATATATATATATATATATATATATATGTATATATATATATATATATATATATATATATATATATATATATATATATATATATATATATATATATATTATATATATATATATATATACATATATATATATATATATATATATATATATATATATATATATATATATATATATATATATATATATATATATATATATATATATATATATATATATATATATATATATATATATATACTTGATGGTTAGATGTTAAATTGTTTTCTATTGAGTAACAAAGTGTTCACTTTTATTATTAGTTGTATAATCTTTAAAATAAAAAAAAACACGGCCGTCTGAAAAAACATGAATAATAAAAAAGACAACCGAGAAAAAAACAATGAGTTTCAAGTAAAAACGTTTTAGTTCACAGACTTGATTCAAACATTTATATGAAATTTTTTTTACTAAAAATACTTTTCGTTTCATCAATTATTATATTTTATATATTATTCATATAAAACAACAGAAATTAATTATAAGTCGCAAAATATTTTTACAAATAAATTTTTGACATGCCACTCGTTTCTAATGTTTAATATAAGTTACAAACACGAATATTAGAAAGCATCGCAAGGTAAAATTTCTCGCGTTAAACGAAACAAATAAAGACGAACATTTTTTTAACAAAATTTTGTATAATCTGAAATAAAAAAAAAGTTTTACGTTTACTTAAATTTTTACTAGAAAATTATAAAATTAAGAAAAGCTTTTTTATTCGGATTTGTTGAAAAATACTTGCCTTTTATTTGGAACCTGTCAAAAAGTTTGAAAGTCACGTATTTTACAGAGCTGTCCTTAAGCACATCGAGTAATCACTCAATGGGCATGATACCAACGCAGGAAAATTTCTTTCAAATTTAAAGAGTTTAAAGAAAATGAGTTTAGTAGGATTATAAAGTGGATGAAAAGAAATAAATGAAAATAAATCAATCATGGTAATTTTAATTTTTATTATTTAACAATATACCAAAACTTTTAAGTTATTACCAAATCAAACTTTCGATAACAAAATAAAAATGTTGGAAAAAAAAACAGATGTTACTCGTAATCCGGATCTGTGATCAAATAAAAAAGGAGAACACCAAAAACAGTGCGATTATCAAAACCAATAAGCAGAATAAATTTTACGTTTAAAGTAGTTAAAAGTTCTCAAGAAAAATGAAAAAAAAGCTATCTTCCAAAGGTAGAAAGACAAAATATTTCAACAAACTTTTAACAAATTTTCTTTTAAATTTATGCGTTGAAAGTTAAATCAAATTAAAAAGAAATTGGAAGACTACTTCATGGCGAATGGTGTAGTAGAAGTATTTATCAATGCATTGGGTGGTCTTACAAGATATTGCAGGCGATTTACGGAAACTATGAGTTTTGGAAAGGAAAAAAATTGGATCCAGTCTTTTAGATATTTAAGATTAATTTTCTTTGCTAAACAAAGTTTTTAACAACTGTTTAAAAAATAGATTTTTACTTATTTTAGAAAAGGGTGCATTCCTTTACCCTTTATAATTTGAGAAAAAGCCAAAGACATGTCTAAAAACAGTAAAACATGTGTTGCTGTTGTCATAGGTAACACTTATATTGCAACTATGT